GTTACACAGATCTTAATCAGATTGGTATAAGACTAGCAAAAAAAAAATATCGCTGCTGTAATTCTTAACACTTCAAAATATAACACTCAGTATGAACATGGAGCTCCATAGTATACATCTTATTTTTTTCCTACTGAAACCAGGCTGAAACAGTATTGTAAGAAAAACCTAGGTTTCCCTAGGTCTGTCTTCTTTGTTCTCTGTTTGTTTTCAGTGGGGGTGTTAATGGGCAGTTAATCCGGAGGTTAGGTTCAAACCTACTACTAATTTGCATATTGTCGATCTAGTAGGTCTGAATAGGGTAGGAAAGGGCAGGTGTTTGAATATGAGATCACCCCTAAGTCATGAAGCTGTATTTACTTGATTTGTGGCAGGAAAGTACATTGATTATTGTACTAAGAGTGGTCACTGATATGTTGTATCACTATCTAGATAGTCAGACCTAGTTGAATCATGTTACTATATGTTGTCTTCACAGTTCAACTGCTACATAAACTGAGTATACATGCCGCTGATGGACCTCACAAATTGATGAAAGTAATCAAGAATCCTGTGACTGATCATTTACCCACTGGTTGTAAAAAACTCTGTATGTCATTCAGTGCTGATCAATGTGTGGCTCCTTCTAAGTTGGTGTTACAAGATAAACCAATAGTTGTGGTTATTGGTGCCATGGCACACGGCAAGGTAAGATCTCAACCAGTAGTTGTAGTGATGCCATGGTTCATGGCAAGGTAAAATCTCAACCAGTAGTTGTAGTGATGCCATGGTTCATGGCAAGGTAAAATCTCAACCAGTAGTTGTTGTGATGCCGTGGTTCATGGCAAGGTAAAATCACAACCAGTAGTTGTTGTGATGCCATGGTTCATGGCAAGTTAAAATCTCAACCAGTAGTTGTTGTGATGCCATGGTTCATGGCAAGGTAAAATCTCAACCAGTAGTTGTCGTGATGCCATGGTTCATGGCAAGGTAAGATCTAAACCAGTAGTTGTTGTGATGCCATGGCTCATGACAAGGTAAAATCTCAACCAGTAGTTGTTGTGATGCCATGGTTCATGGCAAGGTAAAATCTAAACCAGTAGTTGTT